GACTCCATATTCGGAATCAGGGCTTTCAGAAGGCCTGAAGGCGACAAAAATATTGAATTCGAGATTTTGGGTGGACGGTGCCTTCAACACGTTGACGACGAGCCATTTTTTTGAGGTCTGTCCCTGTGGACGAGACGTTTCCGTACATCCCTACGCCTGGCCGCATGTATGTATGCATGTACCCATGCACGAAATGTAAAATGTGCAAGCCCCGCCCTCATGTGGCAAGCTCCGCCCACTAGGTCGAAAATGTCGGAAATTGCCCAAATTTCAAGAATTCATGCGATTTCCGCCACTTTTGAAAAATGGGCGGAGCTTGCCACTCAGGGGCGGAGTTTGCGCGACGGTGGGCAGGGCCTAGCCATAGGTTGTTTGAGGTCTTTGCGTTCATCTACGGCCTCATCCATGCTTTTTATGAACAGAAAGGGTCCCTGTGAGAGGCATGGGAGTGGGCGGAGTCTGCTTAAAGGGGCGGGGCTAATACATGAAGTACATCTGAGCCTATGCTGATTATATGAACAAAAGCTGAGAGGATTGTACAGATAGTATTGAAATAAAGGCCGCCGCGCACCATTGCGCGGCGTCGTCCACAGGGACAGACTGCCTGCCGCGCACAATTGCGCGGCACTGTTGTCAACGTGTTAAAGGCAGCGTCCAGGCAGATCTGGACCTATAGGGCTTCTACGTGGAAAGTACTTTTGGGGCCCTAACTAAGGCACTGCCCAAGCGGCAGCTCAGGTAGTGCGGTAGTGGTTGAGATATTCCCCTCGAAACTGGACCCCGCGACCGTGTTTCGCATGGATTCATGGCGCAAAGCGTGGATTCTGGCGCGAAACTGCCATGAATCCATGCGAATACGTTCGCGGGGGCCAGTTTCGAGGGGAATATCTCAGCCAATAGTGCACTAAATGAGCTGCCGCTTTGGCAGTGCCTTAGTTAGGGTCCCAAAAGTAAAGTACTTTCCACGTAAAGGCCCCATAGGATCTGCCTGGGCGCTGCCTTTAACTGCTTTGCGGGCTTGTAGTTAGGCCGATAGGCATTCTACGAGCCTGCAAGTAGGCTCATTCAAAGGAGCGTGACTCCGTGGACACGATGGTATGCAAATGAGTTGAGTTTGAGGAATGTCTGAGATTTTACGTGGGGTGGAACTTCAGTGGTAGGCTAAGGAGCTTTCAGCTAGTGTTGAACAGAGCTCTTTTCGCTACCAGTTCCATCCCAGAAGTTCAAAACTGTCAGTTCTCTTGTAATAGATTCATTTCGAAGTTCTAAGACTGTACTGATGTTGATAAGAGCTTTCACTCCAATCACCTCTAAGGCTGCACTTTTTCACCCCATCCGTAGATTCTCCGGGATGTCCCATTCTCAACTCATTTGCATACCATCGTGTCCAAGAAGTCACGTTCTTTCGAAGAAGCCTACTTGGAGGCTCGCAGGATAACTACTGGCCTGGCTACAAGCCTGCAAAGCGGTGCAAGTCAGTGGTGCAGGTGTGGTCATGTACTCAGCAAAGAAACTCACCAGCACACGTTCGATGCATAGAGGATGGCAAAAAGCATCCGTTTCATCCAAGTAGCTTTGTTGGGATGTCTTGCATGAGTTTTTATGTGAAGAAATTTGGCTTGAAAAATAAATAGAAATTATTTTCTGGAAAAGCAAAATGAAATTCAACCTTGGATTTTTGAAGTAACCACTACTTGGTTATGTGCTCGATGAGCTCTATGATTTAGTATGATACAGTATGCTTAACTGTCCGAAAAACTACTGTCTTTGCTCCAAACAAAGATCTAAAGAAAAACATTGTGACAAGGTCATTTTCGGGCTTTTGTAGAAAAAATTTTTCAAAATTTTTAGAATCAATATTTTCCAAGAAGCGCAACGTGTGGGTTGCAGCACTTGAAAAGCTCTACCAGTTCATGCAATCCAACCATTTTTTCATCTTTGTTTTCCATCCGAAAATGAGCGATGAAAAAAAGGAAGGCGACTTGTCCGCAAGTTGTTGGCGATCACTGTATGTTGACTATACTACTCAACTTTTCGCAAGTCTTTCAAGCTTTTCAAGTGTGTAATCACGTGTCTGAGTAGCATTGAAAAACATTAATAATTGAATACGGTTGAGTGCGAGTTTCATAATTGAATTCAGTAACCCTTTCAAACAAAATACTGCTCGCAATGTCTCAAAACCTTCTTTAATTTCCTACGGTAACCCTGCAGAAGATAATCTAAAAGTTGCTTTGTACTATAAATTTGAGTTGAGGTCAGCCCTACAGAAGTGTACCTAAAGTTCGGAAAAAGAATTTTTGGAAGGGTAACTAACGATTAAACATATTTTACATTTGTTTACATATTTTTAAGACAACGGCGGTATATATGGGCTGCTGTATGACGAAGGCGCTTACCTTTGAGCGCGAACGCAGCTTCTTTAGCCGCAGAGCGCACAAGACGCAGAACTTACAACGTTGAATATACGCGCACGCCGCGTTGGCGCCGCTCAACTACTACTGCTTCTGCGCCTTCGCTGCAGTAGTCTTTATGTTTGGATGGTCCCCGTATGCTAATCTGAACTATATGCAAAAGGCGCTTTGTATTTCGCAGTAATTGCTCAATTTCACTATTCAGAGCTACGATTTTGACATTTTTTTTTGAAGTTCTGGAAATTTCTTTAACCGCTGCAGTAAGCTTTTAGGTTCTCAAGTCCTTTTATACCACTAAGCCTTTTTTTATCATAAATTGTAACGTGAAAATGTGTGTTCTTACAAGTATTGACATTTTTACATAGACTTCACTAGACATAATTCTTCTTATTCTTCTATTCATTCTTGTCTATTCTTCTTCTCTATTCTTGTTGTACTTACACGAAACAAATAAGATATTACTCTCGAGGCAGTCATCTCATTGACACTTTCATTCGAATAATATTCGAAAATCGCATAGAATCCAAAAATCGAATAACAGTCAGAACCTAATAATATTCGAAAGTTGATTAAGAATGATTTTCGCTTCTAATATTTCATTCGATAGTCAAATGATCGAGATTTTTGATGGATAATATTCTATAGTCGAATATGCAAACATTTCGACTTTCGAATCTTATTCGATAAGCGAATATTCGAAAAAAATTTCGAACCTCCCTAAGTATAGTGTGGCGCGGTTGTTTGTGACAAAAGTCTTCCGTCCTATGTGTTAATCTTATATATAAAGCTGAATGTCTGTTTGTATGTATGTCTGTCTGTCTGTATGTCTGTGTGTACGTATGTTCCGAATAGAAAATTCCATTTCTGAACCGATCCGGACCAAACTTGGCACACATACATTTCGAGCCCCGGCGGATGTCATAGGCTACTTTTCGTATCGATCGATATCGATTTTATCGATTTTTTGCAAAATTTGAGCTACGGGGCTGGAAGTTGGCACAGGGGGGGGGGGGTGAGTGAGCATGGGGATTCCGAATACAACATTAGTTTTTAAAATCGCGCATTACTTTTATCGATTTTATCGATTTTTTTGCAAAGTTTGAGCTACGGGGCTGGGAGTTGGCACAGGGGGGGGGGGGTAATCGAGCATGCTGATCACCCCCGTGGGGGTGATCAGCATGCTCGATTACACCCCTCTGCCAACTCCCAGCCCCGTAGCTCAAATTTTACAAAAAATCGATAAAATCGACATCGATCGATAACGAAAAGTGGACTGTGACACCCGCCGGGGCCCGAAGGGTATGTGTGCCAAATTTGGTCCGGATCGGTTAAGAAATGGAATTTTCTATTCGGAACATACGGCGGAGCCGGGTAAGCCAGCTAGTAGTCAATAAGATCTGCTTTTGTGACCCAATTGCATTATCGTTCAATTAAGATAGAGTCAGAGTATGAAGAGCGGAGAAGCAAAAATAAGCCAGTTGTTTCTGCACGGAAACGGCTGCGGAGGAAGTTATGCAGAAGTGCAGGTTGCGTCATTGCCATTGCGTAGATATGAAGTAGCTGGGGAGTTCAGGGGTTGTGGTGCAAGAGGAACGATAGCAATTGCCAGCCGCTGCAGTCAATGTAACATTTGCCTCAAACTGCGCTGATTTCAGACTTATAAACTTGAGTAAAGTTGGAATAAATGCTTGACTTCATGAGTTCTGCTCAGAGCCCAGTGTATGTGCAATTCGGTGATGTTCTTGCAAGAATAAGCTTGAAATACTTGAAGTTTCACCGTTGAAGCGCTTCTTTGATATTTATAACTTACTAGTTGACTTAACCGGCTCCGCCCGCCTGTCATTATTATATTCGTAATCAGCATCCTCGATTACCCCCCCTGTGCCAACTCCCAGCCCCGTAGCTCAAATTTTGCAAAAAATCGATAAAATCGATATCGATCGATGACGAAAAGTAGCCTATGACACCCGCCGGGGCCCGTAGTGTATGTGCGCCAAGTTTGGTCCGGATCGGTTCAGAAATGGAATTTTCTATTCGGAACATACGTACAGACAGACAGACAGACAAACAGACATTCGGCTTTATATATAAAGATTTTCATTCCATTTCCAAGCAAACAGAATCTATCTCATTCTCCTGTTCAAATGAAAGTGTAATAGGAAGAAATGCTCTAGATTTCTGCACGCTGATGGACAAATATGACGGCGCGAGTTATAGACACCCACCAGCTATCGTTCCTCTTGCTCGCCACCTGAGTTCAAGAGATGACAGCCTGTAATTTTGGACATGAGCTGCTAAAGTTTGTTCCCCAAGGTATGTACGAAGTCGTGTGGAGTTTGTACCCTGGCTCTTCGTACTATATCAACACCCGATCATTTTCGAAACGTTCAGGTGTGAGGAAACTACTGTGGGACAATAAGATCTCAGAATAAAACCCTCGGAAGTCGGGGGGAGAGAGGGGGGGGCTGCAGCGCAGAGGAGACTGAGCGAAGCGGCATCCGTACTTTCGCAAAACTTCATGAAGTGCCAATTATTCAGTTCAGTTCAAAATGTTATACAGAGCACATAGATAAAGACACCCCCTTTAAGCATTGGCGAGAGCAGAGCCACAAAGCGATAAATCAGCACACTACGCGCGATGCCACTGGATTGGACTGAAACTCGACCGCAAATCTAAAACATATAAATGGACGAATGGCGAAGAGAGCAAGTATTGGAATTGGCATCCAGGTCGTCCAGATGACTTTAAAGGAATAGAGGAATGTGTCCATGTAAGTCCAGTGAAATGTGCAATCAAAACAAGCCATGTTAAGTTAGTCAAATTCAGTACTCGTTTGAGAGTGGGTTTTGGGATCAGTGGAATGACTTACACTGTGACGAAAAACTGCAGTACTTCTGCGAATGGGATTCTTGCAGGGTAGCACTCAGTAAAATCTGAAAACGACGTTTTCTTCGTTTGATTGATTGAGTTTGAGAACAAAACTGTTAATAGTTTGATTGATGAAGTCTGGCAAACTTGTTTTTTTTTTGTTCTCGTATGTACAATTTTGCATTGATTGTTTTTTTTTGTTGTCAAAATCCTTTCTCATCCCACAATAAAAAACTTTTTTTAATATTCAAAGGGTAGTCTTGTTGTGTGCAAAGTTAGAAAATGAGCAACCTGCACAGCATTAAAACTGTAAGAAAACTAAAGTTTGTGTTCGACGCAAGTCTTGTACTTCACTTGATATGGAATGTTCACTCGTAGTACGTTTCTCAATTAAATTCAATTTTCTTAGCTATATGGGAAGTATGTGTTAATGTTTCCATGATTTTGTTCCACGAAAATTTATGTTCGACTGCCACATCTGGAAGACCCGATCCAAATCAGAGTCTATATTTTCCGAACATCACCTGAGTTTTCACTAAGGTCCGTGGAAGCGGGCGACTTTTACATCAGTTTGGAAATCCCAAATTTGGGGAAGTCTTATAGTTACGAGACACAGAGTTGTACGCACTTTCAACTTCAGCAACACTTCAAATCAAACATATTGGCTTATATTTTACCAAGACAAACTCCATGGCTAGCATCTGAATCCCTCTGCATTAACTCTATTATGGATAATGCAACATACAGATAATGATGAATGTGACCAACTTGCAAAGGTGATCATCAAAATTTGCGGAGTGAAAATTTTCGTAAAAGAGTAGAGCGGATCAAGAAACTATCATCGGCTCCCAGATTTGTGTGGAGACAGGTTGCCGACTTCCCTGATTTTCAGAATAAACTTGTTGAACCTCCACATTATAGCATTGTATTTCGTACTCTCTCTCGTTAAGCTTATCCTTGAATTCAGGGAAGTCCGTGATCCCCTCCACACAAATCTAGGAGCCGATCATATGTAACAGTAGCAGTCCATAAGATAGAAGTCGGCTTCTACATGTTTTGGTCCAAGCGGCAAACGAGCTCGATTTAGCGATGATTATACAAGAAGACTTTATTGTTTTTCTAGAACACCTGTGCCCTAAGTTGGGACTATTCGAAATTTTTTCCGTTGCTCAGACAGTATAGTCGAGAAAAGATCGAATTCACATTTCGAGTATTTGCAGAAATAATAAAAATGTCGTATCTTCATACAGGCGAATAGGTTCTTCGCTTAATATAGTGTGCTCGCACTGCAGGTGAAATGCGGTAAAATTTTTGCGTGAACAAATACAGTAGGTGTCAATCGCGTAGTACCTTTTCCGTAAGCGCAGTCGCCACCGCAGAGGTACACGCCACATCCGCGCGCGTATGGCTTCGCCATTCAAATCGGCTTCATTGATTTGTGGTCCGCACGCAAGACCCTCACGTTGTGCATGCGTAATTCGTACGCGAAAAGGAGTACGTAATTGACACAAACTATAGCTACGCCTGTGACGCAGACCAGCGCGCGCAAAATAATGGCATAACTGGCGTGGCTAGTTGCTCACGCGCAAATTCTACCGCATTTTACCTGCAGTGCGAGTACACTATATTGAGCGGATCTATATATCTACCGGCTCCCCGATTGCTGCGAGGGCGGTCGCAATGGTCAACCGATAATCAATTTATCAGCTATGTTTCGGGCAACCCCATCGCTGATAGGCTCGTCTGGGTCCGCTCCGCCCTCGCGGCAATCGGGGAGCCGATGGTGCTCAACTGTATGTCGAACTTCAAAATCAGGTTGTTCGGTAATCGAGTATCCAATTTATTCAGAGTAAAATGAGTGATCAAGAATCAAAGTTGTTCGAAATATAGAAATTTGAGCAGTCGAATATATATCCTAGGACGAGAAATTTCAAATTCGAATGACTGGATGGATATTTTGTCCCGAGTATGTCGAATAACCAATGAGAATTTGGTTTTACCACCAGAAAGACTCCATGTAGTCTAGAATTCGGACCAACGCTTGTGACAAGCAGTCAAAATTGTGGTTCGTATTTTTTGAACCAGCTAAACTCGTTTAACTCGGTTCTTGTCCACATCTCACAGCGGAAGTCACCGTCTTAGCCCAATCTATGCCGGTCTCCTGTCCCCACTGTTAAGACATTGACGACAACGTGCGTTTTTAGTTGTCTGTCTCTAGGGGCAATGCCCTACAGATAAGTCAATAATTTTTTAGCTAAAATCATGCAGACCGTCAACTGCAGTATAGCTGCAGTGATTCTATGAAGATGGCAAGAAACACAAGAGCAACTTCTAGGGTCAGAGCCTAAGAGAACTTTTGAAACGAATGTATTCCAAGATAGCATCTTTTCCAACAAAATTCAAGCCATGACCCACCATGCGGTTCTAATTGTCCCAGGTGGCAGAATTGCATGACCCACCATGTGGTCACGTTGTCGTCAATGTCTCAAGACTCTAGCGACATTCCAACCGCGGCGCCCAACTGAAACGTGAAAAGTCTTCAATCAATCCATGCCGTCGAGAACCTGACGAATGCCTGTCATGCGGAGCAGAAGATCGGAGAAGATCCCATCGGACTCAACGAGATAAGCTGGCACAAGACCAGGAAGGTTGTTGAAAAGTAGATTTGTGCCTACAGGGTGCGCCAAAATTACCGGCACGTGTTCCCTTAGGTGTCAGAAGATGGGGGACGGTCAGGAGGTACGAACGGCGCGAATTATTCGCGAAGCGACGCCGCAACGTACTTCAACCAATATACAGTCGAGTAGATTCCCTGCTTAATATAGTGTCCCTGCAGACGCGACAACGCTGGGGCGTCAACAAATGCCTTGCGAGTTCCCGAGCTACTTTGCTTTTTTCATGCTTTTTAGTCGATTCGTTGCTGATAAAGAGGAAAAGGGTAAGTTAAGGAGTAGTTTCTGTTTTTTGAGAAGTTCTATCATCGCATATTCACAGATGCCCACGTGGAAGCATTTCGCGTCAGCTTCTTATCTATTTTTTTCGTCATTTCCTTTTCTTCTATCACTTCTTCTTTCAAACCTCCTCCTTCTTGTGAGGCGTTTCTTTGAACGCTAGTTGGCTTGTCTTGCAGCAACTTCGGCTTTCATCCATAAGAAATAGCATTTTAATCAAGTACTTCATGTGACAAAGACAATAAGTCAATCGTAAAACCCACTAGCGTTCAAAGGAGTACCTCACAAGAAGAAAGAGACATGAAGTGACAAGAAAATAGACAAGAAGCTGACGCGAACTGCTTCCACGTGGATATCTGTGAATATGCGATGATAAAACTTCTCGAAAACAGAAACTACTCTCTAACTTACCCTTTTCTTCTTTATCAGCAACGAATCACCTAAAAAGCATAGAATAAGCAAAGAAACACTGGAAAACACTAGCTCGGGAACTCGTCAGGCAATTATTGACGCCCCAGCTTGTCGCGTCTGCAGGGACACTATATTAAGCAGAAAATCTACTCGACTGTAACAGTAGCACTCCAGGCGCAATGTTACTTATGCCATTGAATCATTATCTGCCTCGGCGGCGTGGCAGGAGTTCCCAAAGCCTAGCCGCTTCTCCTCGCAGGGGTACTTGACACCTCCAGAAATCCCTTAGAGGACATCACAACTTATCGGGGCCAAAGGGGCGCTCCGCCCATCACTCCTTCCTCTAGGTGCCCTCATTATGAATTGTGTACATGCACTGTAAGACTTGTATTGTTTTTGAAGATAATAGCAGAAATAGAGAAAAAATTTCAAGGGTGAAGGATCCGTAAATGAGTGCAGCTGAATTTCCAGCATTTCGAGTTACGTTTTAATCACGTTTTCGGATAAAATGACGCTTCAGCAGAAGTTATGAGTTTTCCAATCGCAGTATATAACAGAGAAGTTAGTCAATTACAGGCAAGTTCTAAAGCTCATCAAAGAATTATAGCAAATTAAGATAGCTTGCAAGTTTAGTGTCGTATTTGAAACCCTTAGCCAACTCTTCAATCACGCATGCGATCGAAGCTCGGGATTCACATCTATTGTAGGAAATACTACATTCAAAAATTGGTTTTGACAATCAAGATATTGATCATTAGAGTTGCAATGAAAGACTCATTGAAATACATATATATTGGCAGACGAAGGTATGAAAGTATATATGTTCAAATATCCCAACTGCTGGAAAAAGCGTCAAGTTGTTTATTTGAAAACTTTGATATACTCCTTTCAAAATAGATAATTTTAATGTTGAGAAGGTGATGTGGTTCTAAACCCCACTTCTGGTCACTGAATTATTCAACTTTTAACGCTTATTGCTCCAATCAGATGACCAGGAATTTACAATTGATTAACTAAATTCTCTACAATTTCGAATGACCGGGTTTTCTATACAAAAAATTCTGTGCTATTTATCTTATATATAAAGCTGAATGTCTGTTTGTCTGTATGTCTGTCTGTCTGTCTGTCTGTATGTACGTATGTTCCGAATAGAAAATTCCATTTCAGAACCGATCGGGACCAAACTTGGCACACATACACTTTGGGCCCCGGCGGGTGTCATAGGCTACTTTTCGTCATCGATCGATATCGATTTTATCGATTTTTTGGAAAATTGGAGCTACAGGGCTGGGAGTTGGCACAGGGGGGGGGGTAATCGAGCATGCTGATCACCCCCGTGGGGGTGATCAGCATGCTCGATTACACCCCTCTGTCAAATTCCAGCCCCCTAGCTCAAATTTTGCAAAAAATCGATAAAATCGACATCGATCGATAACGAAAAGTTGACTGTGACACACTCCGGGGCCCGAAGTGTATGTGTGCCAAGTTTGGTCCGGATCGGTTAAGAAATGGAATTTTCTATTCGGAACATACGGCGGAGCCGGGTAAGCCAGCTAGTCTCTTATGAGAATAATGTTCAATGCTCAGCCCCTCACTTGAGAAATGATAACTATGTTCTTCGTTTTTTCTCCACTTTTTCTCTCTTATTACCTTCACACTGAATGTGTGCTCTCGCTGCTTGCACACTTCACAATGAGATCAGTAAATGGGTGGAGCAATGGGCGTGGCCTGACCTCTGAAGCGCGGAGGTGCTAAAACCCTCCTGGGTGCGAATGCTGGTGCGAACTTGGTGCGAGGAAAGGTGCTAGGAACTCCTGCACGCCCTCCATCTGCCTCCACCCCCACCCCCGTGTTTTTGCCGCCGGGAGTCTCTGATATGGGGAGCTCTATGAGTACCAAGCTCGGGACGCAGCGTGCGCGGCGTACCTCCTGACGTGCAGCTTCAGAAGACTACAAGACGGGCCTGACGACGGATCAAATGTGCATCTGTTTTCACCAACCATTATCATCGTAAAGGAATAGTCAAATCAGAATTTTGGGTGCTCTGGCTCTGAAGACAAATGCGCTCTGTACGCAGGCACAACTTGGAGACTTTATACAATATCTTTTTGTAAAAGTTCTCTTTTACTTTGAAACTGAGCGGTAAAGTATGGACCTTTGCCTTGCCTCTGAATAATTGAGTGCGGAATTCTAAAAGGCATGGAAAAGCAGTTTTCAATTTTTCAAAACATGCTTGAGTATTTCGGCCCTCCTGAGTGCGCATCACAACCAGAAAATGCCTTCAAATATCAGTTCCAAATTTATTTTTACGAATCGGTCATGGTAGATAGCTTTCTACATGTCTTATGAATAAAGAAGCGTTTCTAATTGATAATTTTTGCATGTCTAGAATCCCACAATCGATTTTGAACATAAGGCCGTTGCTCGTACGCAACTATTTCTCGCAAATACATCTTCGTATTTTGTGAAGAACGACTTCTTGTGAATGAACTAGGGCTATGTGATAGTGTGAAATATGCTCTACGATCTCAGTTCGAAATGGTTCAAGAAGATTTTGAGTTCATTCAGTTGCAGGACAAAATATGAAGCATAGAAACTCCACTTCTTTCTTTGAAGCAGTTGGTCTAATTCTTTTGATTCGCACCTTCTTGAAAAAAAAGTCTTTCTGGATACTGTAAGATGTCTTGTGTGAAGTTTGGATTAGTGCATTCTATGAGATGAATTTAAGCCTTTGTTTCTTAGTGGTTTTCTTGTAGCAGCGGTGCAAACATTGGCGCAGGTAGTTTTGGCGCACCCTGTATACTGCGGCACTCATATATCTGAAAGAAGCGGACTATAAAAGCGGGAGACGGCTTAGACTTAGTGTTGCACCATGTGCAGCATCGATCCAAAAGGTATTCATTGTACAAACAATACCGCGCGAGCAGCTGCTTCAAACATAAAATATTAAAAAAATGGATAGAACTTGCACAGCTCTACACCAAGCATCAAAAAAAGAAAGATCAGAATCCAGGGATGTGAGCGTGCTTCTATAACCCTTTCTACTCGCAAAGCTCATAAGGCGTATGGTCCACAACATACAGACAGCTGCGCGCGTCGCATTCCAACCGCTTCACTAAATTTGCTCTTGCGTTTTCGTCCGGCAGTAAAGTACCACTTCAAAGGACATTGCAGAAACCCAGTCATGAATTTTATAGACTGTGAAAAAATGCTGGAACAAGATAAAAGTTGTAATCCCATGAGATGAAGTTATACAAACTTACTTGACAAAACCTCGTTTCGTCTATAAAACGCTTCACAAAAACTTAACAATAACAACGTAACAATGAAATTGGAAGAAACAGAAACATGTCAGTGTTTGTGCACATCAACGACATGTCCAAACTACGGTGTAATTAGTTTGTATCCCTCTTTTCAATAAAACGCAACTGCTTCTTCTTCGCTTTTCGTAATTTAGCCGTGTTTTTGATGACCTTAATTGAGAATGATTCTCTCAAATTCAAAAGTTATTTGCACACACACTAACCTGCACCACCTCTCCTTTCCTCTCGTTTTCCAGCCGTCGTTTCTCCTGCTCTTTTCTTCGTTCAATCTTCTCCTTTAAGAGACCAAATTCGGAGACATAGACAATCTTGACTTCCCTATGGTTACTTACTTGTCTTTCTTGTGCTTTTCGATCACGTATTTCTTGTTGCAAAAGTCTGACTTGTTTCTGTTTAGCTCGATCTGCCATTTTCTTCTCCCATGAGGATTTCAAAGGCTTTACTTTGACAAGCGCACTGTACCTGAATAAACAAGGGTGAGAAAAAAAATAGCAAAAATCATCATACTCTTTAATAAACCGCAGGCACCCCCATCTGACGTCAGTGTCGGTCTGTTCGTCCCACTTTTTCTTTGTTTACCCTATGCTCTATGATGCTCCATGTGCCCCCCCCCCCCCCTCACCTGCACTTTAACACTGCCCTTTTTTGTACAAGTGATCTTTGCCGTTAGACTGTCTGTCTTCGGTTTTGTTTATCAAGGTTCCTCATCAGCCAAGAGCAGCCAAAAGCCACCACAACACTGTAAGCGGTGAGATCGATTAGTCTCATCCAGGGTTGAGCGTGGGGTCAGGCGCGCCTGACCTGGGGGGTCGTATTAGGGGTGGAACCGGGGGGGTCGTATTTGGGGGGTAGGATCATAAATCGTCCAAAACCTATAAAATGCAGCACTTTTTTTCCAGGTGCAGTGCTAAGAAAAGTCATCTCTCTTCATTACCGTTGCCTTTATTTAGTTCCGGTTATTTTAGCTAAGGTGAGGAAGTTACGAACATTGTTATTGAGCAAGAAAATTAACTCTTTTCTTAATTTGCTCTTTGCAGGTGTTCGGACGGCTGCACAAAGGATTTGATTACAAATAACATGATTTTATATATAACAAACTCATTGCTTGATTATCAACACTGAATGCGAAATAAAATATTTATTCATTCTGGTTTTGTGGGTGATCCGACAGAAAATATAGACATTTTGGCGAGTTCTTCCTGCAGTAGTCTGTTTTTGATATCATCGTTTTTGATATTTTTGATATCATATTCACAGTAGTGAAAAATAAGATAATAAAAATAAAAAATAAATTATAAAATGAAATAAATTTAGTAGTAGTGATAGTTGTGCAGGATGCTCTCTATTGTAGCATGTTGGCAAGCCGTGATACGACTGAGCAGGCCAAAGCGATTGTAGCAAAATTACATCACTATATCATTATGCATCCGGAAATTGTGGAAATGGAAGAGGACGCTTTTTTTGCGCTTGGATGATATTCGTGATCGACTGCAGCGCTCTCATATCATCAGTCTATCGACTATGATAGACATCTTAGACGGTCAGGCACCTGAGGCAGTGCCTATGTACCGCATGAGAGCCTATAGCCTCTCACTGTTGCGGAAGCGGGCTTAGACGGTGCTACAGGAAGACCACTGCAGGCCTTTCGCGCAATGCAATTGCACAAAAATACCACGGCAGAGATCGCGTGCTCTTGTGGAAATTGCAGTGAGCAGGAGACATTGGTAGACCACTACAGCGAATTCGGTGACTTGACGCATCCCACACTCCCGCTTATATGGATAGACGAAGGAGTTGATAGCATGAAGTACTTTCCCATGGAACAAATTTTTTTGCAGTTTCCGCCGCCAGAAGAACCGCAACCACGGCATAATCCGTGGGAAAGGCTCCTACCAGAGCCCGAATACATACCATTTCATCGCGAGCAGCTGGTTAGGCTAAATTCATCGGAAACTGAGAGCGATGAGATTGAAGAGGACGGGGAGGCAGGTGTGTGGTCAGACGAAAGCGACTAATCTATACAGGTAAGTAGAATAATCGCAGATATGATTGGACATGTGCGCAAAAATGTTTTTAGGCACTGGAAGAATGGAAGCCATGCTCTCGAGGAGATTCTCCAATGCCGAGCCATCGAGTGGACGTTCATCTCTCTCATCCTAGTATAGAGGCTGACAGAAACAAGGATTATATAATGGTTGATTGCTAATAAATTTTGTTGTCAGTGCATTGGACAGGTACAAAAACAGCACAGTTAGATTGATCTGACAATATCTATCCAACTACCGTATACCTACCGTAACCCCACCAGGGCTCATACCAGCGAAGTGGATGCTATTTTCGTAATCAGGATGCAAAATAACCCTTTCTGGACTCTTTTTATAATTTCCTATCACAATTTTCCATCTTCTGTAAAGTATGGAAGGCGCTGTTTTCAAGCATAATTAACTTGATTTCAACGATCACAAAAGTCAACCTTTTCACACTTGTTACAAAGTATTACTCTTCACTAATGTACCATAACAATTTCGTCTTAAACCATTCTGAAGTAATGGTTTTATAAGCCCCATAAAAATTTCGACAATGACGTTTTTCACCTCGACTGGATTTACTGCATGAGCTGCTAGAAAGCCAAAACAAGACGAATCTACTTCACACACCTACTATCACATCTACGATGTTTGTGCTAACTAATCATTTCAGACTTATTCAAAAAAGTCGCCTTTGAGATGAAGTTAATGGGGTCAGGCGCAACCCCTCAAAAGCTCAGGCCGCCTGAGCTTTTGAGCGGTTGCGCCTGACCCCATTAACTTATCTCAAAGGCGACTTTTTTGAATAAGTCTGAAATGATTAGTTAGCACAAACATCGTAGATGTGATAGTAGGTGTGTGAAGTAGATTCGTCTTGTTTTGGCTTTCTAGCAGCTCATGCAGTAAATCCAGTCGAGGTGAAAAACGTCATTGTCGAAATTTTTATGGGGCTTATAAAACCATTACTTCAGAATGGTTTAAGACGAAATTGTTATGGTACATTAGTGAAGAGTAATACTTTGTACCTCAAAACTTTCCACTTTCTCACTCAAACTGTTGATTGATCCTTCCTCTCCCCATACCCAAAATTTTATACAATTTCATCATCTCTCCAAAAAGTTGTCAGTGGTTAGTCCCACTTTTCCACCAAAGGCGATCGTCGCCTTTTGCTCCATTAAATTCGTCTTACTGTAATACGCATCCCGTGCAGTGTTTCTGCACGGGATTGCGAAACGCGCCAAAATGCATTTTTCGACTCGGTCGTTCCACTGTTTCGTCTCTGCCGCCAGCTGTCACTATGGTAAAGTTTTTTTTGTTCCTTTTCTATTTTACTTCTTTTAGGCATGGAGGAAAACGGGTACGAAGCCGCACCGGATCAAATTGCTTCGGAGCATTTGGAGAAGAGTGAGCTGGATGAACTATTGAGTTGGATACAAACTTATGGGTGAGTTTCTTGCCTTTGACCGGCTTGTTGAAATAATAGAAAAAACTAAGCCACTTGAGCCAGCCACTATCTCTGAATTGTTGCACGCTGCAGCGACCTGTTTATGTGCTTTTTTGTGTGCTCCATTCTTGCATGTGGAACCAATGCACGCGTATTCAACCAGTTCCCATCTCTTTTTTTCGAATCCGTCACGTTCATTCTTCCTATTATTTTTTCCATACTTTCTTTTTCCAGCGACTCCGAGTCCGATGAGCGCAATGCCCCTCGAGGAGGTCTTGATTCGGAGGCTGCTGATGTACTAGAGAAATTTGACGACTTTCTTCACGAGCAGTCATCTGGAGGTAGTGCCGGACGATAATATCGATATCAAAGATGACTTCATAGTGGAGGCATGTATTGCGCAGTGATTTTTGTCTCTTCACTTGCTTATTGCCTTGTTATTTGACCTTTGCTTATCTTGGTCTGAAAGTTATCCTAGTAAAACTACTCTTTGACTAACATATTTGCTTTATAGTGGGTCAAGCTGTGATGAAGACCCTTTTGTAAAAGTTTCTTACTGCGCGCTTTTACGAATTTCTTTTCGTTTTTCAGGATGATGAAGAATCGCTAAGGACAGCAAAGTGGAATGTAAAGATGACTTTACGTTCACATCTTGATTCAATTAGAGCTATGCAGGTTCGTTCTTCCCTTATCAGTTCCGTAAAAAATATCACTTGAGTCTTCTTCTTCAATTCGTGTTAGCCTGGTCCGAATGCAACCAGTTTCTGTTTAGTTCCACCCTGTTGAACCAGTGCTAATCACCGCTGGAGAGGATGGAACAGCAAAACTATGGAATCTTGATGGGACCAAAGAGAAATCGGGTGTGCTTTTAGCAGTGTTCATTATCAATCTATGAGTTCTTATCGAACCTTTGCAGGAGGTACGACTGAAATAGAGCCGGTTTACACTTTCCGAGGACACCTAGGACCTGTATTATGCATGGATTTTTTGGATTTTTTTTGCATGGATGCGGTTTTTTAAGCTAGTCGTGGAGTTTTCGTTCGCTATAGTTCTATCTGTACGTTCCGAACTGCTTTTTTCGCAGTTTTGGACAGTATGGGGCTGACTCATCCGTGAGAAATCTAAGATCATCCTTGAAAATGTCGAAGTGTATGCTTTCTTACTGGCATAGAGGTCTTTTCATTTCCCAACTTTTTATGAATGCAAATACACCGGTCATGCTGGTTCGCCCACAATGGGAGTGGCTATTTTCGCTTCATATCTGATGTACCCCACTCGCTTTTCTTTGTTCAGCTCAAGAAACATGAAAGAGTATCAGCTTACACTCTCAGCGGTATGGATAAAATGTGATGACATCGACATAATGAGCTCTTAATCGTTTGGTATGATGCATTTATGTTTCTTGAGCTGAACAAAGAAAAGCGAGTGAATAAAATGTGATGACATCGACATAATGAGCTCTTAATCGTTTGGTATGATGCATCACTTCACAACAATTCATTCTCGGGTTCTGTGTGGACGGGATGTTGACAAAACATCTGCTATCGATCATCTTTATGAGTTTGGATGCCAGTGCGTAGTGGTTTCCTCGCATGCTTGTTTGATATCAAGCTTTACAAGGCAGTCCCTTGTTTTTTTAGGGGCGGAGATTTTCTCGGAAATCGTCGTTTGCAAATCAACGCGTCGCATTGTTGGAAGATGTTCCAGTATTATCGAGGACTACGCTCAATTCGCTACATGATAGGTGAGCATAAGCAGAGTTTTTGGTCATCATATCATCAAAATGGTCAATAGTGGACATAAAATTCTATTGTTAAGCAGTGTGGAAAGCGCCAACAACTTTAACTCAATACAACAGTTGAAAATCGGCAAAGGTTTATTTTTTTTCTAGTTTCGTTGACATGACGCGCAGAGACATGAAGACCTGGTTCGAAAAGACCCGCACTTGGAAAAATCCGAGGTTAGTTTCTTGATCTTTGCTTGCTTATCATCTGAAAGCTGAGAAATATGTTTCTACCCTCTTTCAAATGTGTGCTCTTTGCTTTTTTAAATGTTGGCACTGATAAGTGGCAAGCTCATATCCAGTTTGGGCCCTTTTTTTGCATTTTTTTGCAATAGTTCGCGCGATTTCACCGTCGCGATTCAATCGCTGCGATTTGCATTCATTTTCATTTTACAAAACTTAGTCTCAGTCTTAGCTTGTCTATTGTTCACAGTTTGCCTTCAAATCCGATTTTTTCCAAGTTTTCGCAACAAGCCACTACTTTTTTCTTTTTATCATCTCTTTCTTTTTACTAGTGATTAATTACTAGTTAAACGGTTCTGATAACCGAACTAACCGAACTCTGACCTAACCCATCATCAGCTGTTGCTTTCTTGCGAACTACTAGATCATGCTTTTCTAACTTTTTTGACATAGGATTCAAATGGCTTTGAATGGGTCAGCTAATTTCGTTGGTTGGAATGATGCAGAAGGCGATGTCTATCGAACCTGGGGTTTGAAAAGATTGTGATTCTTAGCGAAGAAGTATAATCTAGATCCGATCCGTGTCTTGACCGAAGGTGAGTTTTGTCGACCATATTTATATGAGAAGTTGTAATTTTTGATTTATATTTTTTGCTTATTACTCAGTTTTTGTCTGCTTTCGAAAGCACTCGTCTTCATCAGATGTTTGGCTCTTGCCTTTATTTTGTTTATTCTCCTCTTATGCTCTCTTTAGCAAGATCAATTGATGCTGGACATCATGGATCGCCTGGACCATCCTCTGGTGAACCCAGTTTTGGTCACGCGCACAGTGCTGAGATTGTATGCTTATTTTTCTTTTTGTGTTTAATGGCATTTACTTAAGACATTTTTTGTTGCAGAATTTCCCTTTTCTCCAACACATTGCCTTTGGTTTTGACGGTGGAACACCGGGTTCAACTGGTCGAGGTAGAAGCTTTAGTCAAGGAGGTAACGATTTGTGCGTACAGTCAAGAGCCGGACGTCGCGAGTGTGCGGCACGCTTGGCTGTAAATGTTGCAAAAAGGTCAGGGAGAGCACATTATCATTTATTTTGTGCACTGAATGATGTTGCTACTTTTAGGGGGCTCTCTAGTACGCCGCGAAATCATCGTGTTAGATTCTGTCGTCGCGGCAATCATTTGACTTGGATGTCACAGAATCTGAGCGAGGTAGCTCACCGCCAACGGGCTTTGGTCTGTCTCCACAGTCTCAGCTTGAAGACAACCTTCTCAAAGGTTGGAGATCTCTTTTTTTTTGTTTTGCCGCATTGGGGGAACGCTACTCGTTCAAATATTTCTGGAAGGTTTTCTTCGTTTGTGGAGACTAGATTTTCTACGTACGTTACAGTAAAGCTTTAAAGGCAGCGTCCAGGCAGATCTGGACCTATGGGGCTTTTACGTGGAAAGTACTTTTGGGCCCCTGACTAAGGCACAGCCCAATCGGCAGCTCAGTTAGTGCTCTAATGGCTGAGATATTCCCCTCGAAACTGGCCCCCGCGAACGTATTCGCATGGATTCATGGCAGTTTCGCGCCAGGATCCACGCTTTGCGCCATGAACCCATGCGAAACACGGTCGCGGGGGCCAGTTTCGAGGAGAATATCTCAGCCATTACAGCACTAGTTGAGCTGCCGCTTGGGCAGTGCCTTAGTTAGGGCCCCAAAAGTACTTTCCACGTAAAAGCCCCATAGGTTCAGATCTGCCTGGACGCTGTTGCTACTAATTAAAGTAAGTCTTTTGTGGAGTTGTATATTTTCTGGAACTAATACCGTACTTTAGATGATTGACAATACTGAACAGGGAATCTTCCTCATTACTTTGGTGAAGAATCTCAACGTAAAAGTTAGTCTCATGGAGCTAATTATTATCCTTGTCATCTTGTTTATGGTAAGTTCGTTATGCACTTTTATTTAGATAACTCAATTTTTTTCAGTTTTTCATAAGCTATCTGGCAGCCAAGCTGATCATGAACGCCAAGCGATCTAGCGGAGGAGGCGTGGGAGGGGGGGGGGGCGGGCCTCCTCCCATACTTCGACCGACAGATGTTATCGTACCAGCCTTCCTCTCCACGTACTCAACGCACTCAAAGCGTCACCATCAGTAGAGATGTTTTTTTGTCAATGTTGCGTTGTTTTTTTTTCGGTAAAAGATGTTTTTTCGTTATGTAAAAGTTTTTTTTCTGTATGTAAAAGTTTTTTTTCTGAATTTAAAAGATACATCTGAAATTTCTTTTGTTTAATAAATATGGATATGTTCTGATAATGATGTGTGATATAAGAATTGAAAAAAAGCCCAAAAGCGTTCAAAAAAGCCCGAAAAAACCCAAAAAAGCCCGAAAGAGCAGGAAAGCAGAAACGAAATTATGGTCGAATTTTAACGTTATTTTTACGTGCAGACATCAGAAAATGGAGCGAAAACACTCGTTGCGAAACCAACATTATGCGTTCGTTCCTGCTCTTTCTGGCGCTTTTGGGCTTTTCCGGGCTTTTTTTCGGCTTTTCCGGACTTTTTTGGGCGCTTTTGGGCTTTTTTCGGCGAAGTATGACGGGTCCCTTACACAGAGAAAGACCTGCGAGCTACGGGGTGGGGGGGGGGGGGGGGGGAGGAAGGGGGGGTCGTATCTAGCACGGCCATGGGGGGGTGTCGTATTTGGCGGCCTTGCGCCTGACCTCTTGCTCAACCCTGGTCTCATCTCTGCTTCTATTAGGTTGGTCCGAAAGTTCTGTCCCACCATTTTCAAAAAATCGTAACTTCTTCCTAACATATGTTTTTGCAAGATTAAAACCGTATTAGAAAGAGCAATTCATGTACTTTCTGAAACTGTGTTGGCTGCTATTCATTAAGCTCTGAATGCAGAGATAAAATTGGGGAAAGGAATTTATTTGAATTTCGGAATTTCTGAGCAAGCCCGTTAAAAAATCCAAAACAGTGCCGTAAAATCCAAAACAGCCACTATCCTAGACTATTTTACCTCCTCTTTCTGGCTGAGCAAAATTCGCGTTGATCGAGCTGTTCTTCGGAAAGTTATGATTTTTTGGAAAAAATGTCAAAAAATCAATTTTCTTAAGAAACTGATTTTTTGGCATTTTTTCTTGAAAATCGTAACTTCTTTCAAGAGAGCTCGATTAGCACAAATTTTGCTCAGCTGGAAAGAGGGGATCAAAAAACCTAGCTGTTTACTAGCTGTTTTGGATTTTAAGGCACACTTTTGGATTTTTTAACGGGCTTGCTTAAAAATTCCGAAATTCAAATGAATTCCTTTCCCCAATTTTATCTCTGCATTCAGAGCTTAGTAGATAGCAGCCAACATAGTTTTAGAAAGCAAATGAATTGCTCTTCTCAACATGGTCTTATCCGTGCAGAAACATCATGTTAGGAGGAAGCTATGATTTTTTGAATATGGTGGGACAGAACTTTCGGACCAACCTAATACAATACTCGCTTTATTCCAGCTATCAAGGTTGGATTCGATATCCAAGTGCAACGACAGGTAAGGCATATTTCTTTTGTTGATAAACCCATCTCTCACAAGCACATAAGTTATCTTCTATCGCCCTGTAATATCTTCCTTTCGAACTTCATCGGTCCTGTGATTATTTATGACTTTCACATTGCTCTCAGAGCAATAAAATTCAAGCCAGAGCGCACCAAACACATGAAATCTCATTTTTATAAAAAATCTTTCGTTTGTGTAAATATTGCATCAGATTCGAGGCTTCGACAATTGCTTCAAAGTTCTTTGCATTGGGAAAAACCAAATGAAATTTTACTCGAAAACTGAAAATAAAAGTACTACATAAACAATATATTAATGCTGTCTCTTTTGAGAAATTCACGCCTCAAACAGAAACGATTTGAGAGGGCGACAGTTGATGCGAATTTTCATGACAAGAGACGATAAAATTCTTTCTCAGATTAGCAGTTTCTTTTGCGAGAATCGAAATTTGAGAAATATTTTGAGTTTTTTTTGTAGGGGACTCCATTTCTGATGTAACCGCACAGAATTCTCTTTTTTCACCAAAAGGACTTTTTTGATTAGATCATTCCACATTTTCAAAACGATCATCGTTTATCCGGTCATATTTTAACGATCTAAAGATTATGGTATGTACATTCTGCGCTAGCAGGGTTCAAGAATTCAGTCGCGTTAGCTTAACACTATCAAATCGATCGAAAATGGGTTATTCTAGTTTTCTGGATAAAACGATTCGCAAAATTACTAACCGCTGTCTCACACTATCTGCGATTGTGTCATCTGAATCTGGACGTATTTAATGTTCCTGGGCACATGAAATTTACAGTTGTTGCACAGTTCCATGAATCAGAAAGGAATAAGTAACCTTTTTTCTACTTCTAATGCGGTTGCAGTGGAAAACTTTCTTTTAGATTACTCACAAATTATTTCAAACGTAAAACTGATCGTTTTTTGAATAGAACATTTCACAGTTGTGCTCAAATATCATTTTCTCTATTATATCCGTAAATACCCAAAGATTGTGGTGCGAATGTTAGATGAAAGAGTTTGTCTAAAGGAGCTATCGCTTTAGTGCTCAAACTATTACGATCGTTCATGTGAAAGAAGTTGACGGTGATTCTGAATCTCTGAAAAAAAAAACTTCCAAGATGACAATTATTGTATTGATGCTCTCAGTTTTGGGCACTCATCTGCAATCTGGATGTACGCTGCTTTTAAGCAAAATTTTATAAAATTCACCGTTGCTGAGCGTTTTTTGGAAATCAGAGCTTACGGTTATGGTTGTTGCCATTTCCACTTCCAATGTGTTCTCACAACCACCTGTTATGATTGCTAGATATCGAAATTGAACCTATTTCCATAGCTGGCCTAGACTATAGACTGGATCTTAACGCTAGACAGTGATCGAAATTAGCACTTTTAGGCAACTTCATTACATGCTCCGTGCCGGACTTTGTCAAGTGTGGTAGAGTAAGCAAATTCAAGTCGACACTTTTATAAAGGACATATGAATTCGAATGAGGTTAGTAATGCTGCAGAGTGATTTTAGCTATTATATACTACACTATACTTCACACACAGCCAGTTCAAAGCCCGCTCCGCGGCGCTTTGAACTGGCTGTGTGTGTGAAGTGGAATGCGTTTGAAAGTTAAAACATTTGCAGTGTCGGCATATGGAGTGTCTTTCAAAACATTTGAATTTTGGCGTATCTTTTCCTATTTGAACTATAGCACAGATTTTTTGACAACGTAATGAATTGTGCCCAAAAGGGCTGGTTGTGTTTGGACACTATGATCTAGGATGTCACAAAAGTCCAGTATCAAATTTCTTTCACCATAATGCGCCCACGAATCCGAGTTAGCTTTGAGTTGTCATGTGTTCATGTAGACAACTCGTCGTTGAAAAAAAATGTGAGATTCTATTTACACCAGCCTTTGCTATAATTTTCACATTTAGGAAAATCCTAGCATCCTTATGAGCCTCAAAAAGCACATAAAACGTGTATTTCATGCGATATTTTGCAGTTCATCAGGCAAAATTAGCGAAAACATATTGCATAGAAGATAGCGAGATACGTTTTGAGATATGAATAAAAGTGATTTAGCCTTTTTCCTATAGAATCAAAAAACCAGAACACTCAGAGGAATCAGACCGGATGCGTGCGAACGGGAAAACTTTTACGATCAGATCAAAAAAGCATGAATTCATATTATGAGAAGACTGTAAAGAATACGTTTACGGGAAGATCATCACCTTAAAGGCAGTGTCTCATCAAAGTTGAGGTCGCGCGGATCTTCACATATTCTATTATAGGGACCTCTAAATAGGCCATTGCAACAAGTCCCACTCAATTTGACCCCCTCCACGCTGAGAAAAATTTTCTAAAAGTGGTACGCGTAGAGCGAGTTGGTACGCGCGGACGACTCCTTCGGTCTCCCCCCTTACGCGTTTGAACATGTTCCTCCACTTGGCATCCACCTCCCCTCTGTTGCCGCCACTGTGGCTGAGGTTGAAGTTGCAAGGTACAACTCGTCCACATTGCTTCCGTGGGGCTTCCAGAAAACGGGGTTTTTGGGAACTTCGTGCGATTTTAAGCCAACACAGTGTTAGACACGGCCCGAGAGGCTTGCAAAATGCAAAAATCTCAGCAACTAAATTTTGGTGAGACACTGCCTTTAACAGTAAAGGTGCAGGAGATACACGCAAAATATTTCTTAGAAGACGCCAGTTCTAAGGAAGTTTCTACATGTGAAGTCATCATCCTTTGCTGATGTTTGTGTTGAACGTCCGATCATGTGAACTTTGCACATCGCAAGAAGTGACATGCATATCGTAAAGTCGATCCTTGCCTTTGCTCTGATATTTGAGCTTTGTTTCATCTTTCAATTGAGAACTGCCTTCATGACTACAACTTGACTCTTTCCTCTTTTTTGTAAACCCCCTCTTTTACCCCCTCTTTCCGTCGGCCTCTAGATAATGCGACATAAAGCTGACCATGTGAGAAGACATCTGTTCGGAAAATGTCTACATGGGCTAAACTTTTTCCTTGGGCTTCATTAATCGTCATTGCAAACGATAAGCTGACAGGAAACTGCCTTCTTCATAATCGGAAAGGGACTCCCGTGTCCGTGTAGTTGTCTATGCGAGGAATCAGCACTAATTTGCCTTTTCGATCTCCACATGCGAATCGACATCCTAAGAGGAAACGTCCGAAATGCGTGACAATTAGCCTCGTCCCATTACATAAACCATTTCGCACATCAAGGTTTCTCAAAAGCATAACTATCGAGCCCTCCTTCATTCGCAGCTTGTGAGGAGGCAGCCTTCTTGGTGTCATACTATTCAGAAATTCCGTGGTGTGATCGTTCGTTTGCGGATTATCACTAATCACATCGTCTGCGCTCTTGTATTCGTGAATTTGGCCGTAAAGCTTATTCAAAACTTCCTCGTTGATTTGCGACACATCAAAGTTTCGCGGAGCCAGTATTGCTCGATCACTCAAAGTGTCGCAGTCACTAACACTACCAAACACTTCATCAATAAGATCGCCTTTAGAGACTATTTCATCTGGGAGCTGTATTCGTCCCGAATCGTCTTCTTCAGCTTCTCCATTTCCAACGCTCATCAGG